GGGGTGGCTGCCACTGGCCGAAAAAGGCCTCCCCCCCCCCCACGCGAAATTGCTCTGGGCCCGCCCGGCACCAAACCGGGGGACCCAACCGGCCGCGCCGCCCGGTACCCCTGCCGGACGAAGGCTGGGCCGCCGGGCGGCCCGGATTTTAACACAGTAATTTGGACCATTTCTCGATTTATGCGTGTCATCCTTGCGCAGGGGCCATGCTAATCTTCTCTGTATCGTTCCAATTTTAATGGATGTCCCGAAGGACACTTTTTCTGGCTTCTGATAACTTGTTTTTCCTTTTTTTTTTAACAAACATTTTTTATCACTTCCCCGCCAACCCTCGGTTTACCGGCAGTGCCCAGGGGAGGTTCTCCCTGAACGGAGCGTATCCTCTGCTCGGTCGCTAACACTGGCCTCGGACTGAACCTCTGGTAGAAAAGGAGTTGGAACTCGGGCTGTATTTCAAGGTTCGTGGGAAACTTGGCTCTGCTATCTGACAGGGACTGCACCCTGCAATTGTGGGCTTTATCTTCCACAGTGTCTCCCGGGGAGCCACCGTTTTGGTGGAGGTGGGCATTGGGAGGCAGCCAGCTATATTTGGGTTCTATTTTTGAGGCCAAGTAGGAGTGGAAGCTGTAGGGGTTGGGGAAGTCTCACTCTTGTCATCTAAGCAATAGGCAGGACAATAGGGCCCACAGATTCAAACTGTCTTCAGTTGGTAGGCTACACAAAAGGCCAGCTTAGACAGGGGTGAGGGATGGTACATCCTTCTGAGGGAAGTAATCAATGCCGTCCTCTCGGGCCTTCCAGCCATAATGGGGAGGAGCGTGGGTGTGTTTTAAAGATGTATTTTTGTTACTTGCCGGTGGAAAAGGAACTGGATTGATGCTTCCCAGACTGGAATGGAGCCGGGGCCCAACCAGAACTCCTGGTGGGGATGATAGTGTTAGGGGGTGCTTGTCACTTCTGTCTGGTCCACGTTGCACTCGATACTGGTAAGATAACCACCGGCTGCCGCTGCCAGCGATCACCGTGGGTCTAGTCCTTGGCCTCTACAACACCCTGGGCTAAGATGTGCTAGCCAACCAGGGGGGAACAGGCCCGGTCGACCAGCCGGTAGGACCGGTCCGGTTCCGGTTGGGGGAAGGGCCCCCGGTCCTACCGGGGGTTTGCAGCACTGTTTTGATAACTTAATTAGGGTTCTCAAAAAGTTATTTTCAAGTTGTTTTTTTCTTCTCTTTGTTTGGCTGGGGTTTGCCATAATATCTTAGGGCGAATGTACATATGTTAAGCATGACACACGCCTTACTGCATGTATTTGACCGTAGCAATTTGCCAGATTCAGTCAAATAGTCTCGTCCAGAGCTGAGTCCAGAAGTCCTTGTGTGAGTATGCCCTTAGGATTGTAGTCACCGGCCCAGGGCGGATGCCCCACTTACCTGGCTGGATTGTTCATTTTCTGACCGTTGATCTTATTGGTGGGGGCCAGAATCCAAGGGGCCAAGTCCCACTAGCGGGGGTTTGGTTTAGGGCGTCGTTGGACACTCCTCGGGGACGCTATTTCAAGGATTTCGTCGCCGTTCCACCTGTCCTCAGAGCTGAAATCAGGATCGAAAATGTGAAAGCACTCCCAGGACGAATCCAAAAGAATTTAGGAATCCCCAGCCATATGCGTGTAGTCCTTGCAAAGGGGCCATGCTAATCTATTCTGTACCGTTCCAATTTGAACTGATGGTTCTCAGATACACGGACCATGAACTTCAGACTGGTGAGAGCGTACTCCTACAAGAAACTTCAAGTGTGCTGTGCTCCTTCTTGGCTATTGGGTTGGAACCTCAGGATGATCGTCGTCCACCTTGAGAGCGTACTCACGCTATGATTTTTCTCGATGTATGTGACTGCAATTATGGCCCGCCATGGATCAATTTGACCGCAATTACGTCCAGAGCTGAGTGGAAAAGGTCCTCGTGTTGGTATGGCCTGAAAAGAGTAGAGTGGAGGCTATGGGCCTTGGCGCACCACTCCCCGGAGTGCAAAATCCTTGGTGAGTTCTCACCTACATTGAGAGGGCGCAAAAGCTCACCGAAATCGTTATGGCCCACACCACTCACAAAAACAATGAGCTCGCCAATGCACATAAGGTCAAATTAGTTTCTGGTGAGTGCCGTGAAGCATCCCTCAGTCCAACAGCAGCAAATAACCTTCTTGCCTGTACCTGACCCAATTGGCCATTAGATTCACTCAAATGAAGTCCTCTGCCACTTTTCAATCTGATGAGTAAACCCTACCGCCTCTATATAGCCTTAGGAGTAGGTAGGACGTGAAAATGCGAAAGAATTTGAGAGAAGAGTAACGTGTAGGGAAAAAAAAAACTCACGGCAATTTGGCACATTTTGTTAATGTCCCGCTGCCACATGTAGGCCAAACCGGTTCGCACGGGAAAAAACTTCGGAAAGGTTCTGACTTCAGTGGTTTTTCACGCTCAAAATAATGCACCGAAAAAAGTTTCAAAAAACTGAAAAAAATGGAGCTCGTAGATTAGGTGCTGATCATTCCCCAAAATATATATATAAAAAAAGGACCTCAATCTGCAAAAAGAAATCGCACGCCTAACTGATAGTTTTTTTTTTTTTTCCACTTTTTCCAGGACTGTGCTACTGGTAGGCCTCATGAAGTGCTGCTACCGGTCCCGTGAAGTTCTTCGTGTCGGCGGGAGTGGCGGTTTAAGTCCAGAAATCCAGTTAACCTTCAGACTGAAGGGTAATCAATGCTGAAACCATATTGCAGCTAATGAGTGGAGTTCTTTTTTAGCACCGGATCCTGGACCCAGTTTCCAGCAGGTGAAGCTCCCCACCAATAGATTGGAGCCATCAAATAGTGAAAAAAGAGGAACAAAAAAAGAAAATGAAAAAAAAAAAAAAAGTAAAAGAAATAAATGAAATGAACCAAGTACTCATCAAATTTCACATCGCAAACATCAATGAACATTCTCACGAGAGTTCACATGTGAGAAGCCGAAGCTGAGATACAATCAACACATGTGGAAGCCGTCACCGGAATTATGAGTCAGTTATCATTATTATACAATACAAGAAATGTCTGTCTCCAGCGGTTCTGCCGCACTCACACACACTCAGAACTGATCTCAACTGGATGGCGACTATGGCTTCTCTCTCTCCCTCTCTCTCCCCGCAGTCTGGCTCTTCTCGCTGACTTGGCTCACTCTGCCTCTCTAACCTTGGATACACCCACTCAGGTAGCTTTCCCCCTCGGCTATGGCTGCACTACTCCCTATCTCCTTCTCTCCTAGCTGTGGAGTAACTCTCGAGCACCCTCTTCCTGTCCCTAGTGCGAAGTGCCCAAGTTGTCTTAACCCACAAGCAGCAGCAGCGCTTCCGCATTTTGCAAAATGAACAAGTGATGAGCCGCTGCACTGTAGCAGCTAAATATAGGACTGGAATTGGCCTGGCCTGCTTCAGACCGATACTGGTCGGCAGTGGCCTGTCTGCTGTAAACATGTGGGTCCGGTAGCTTCCGGACTTTCTTGCCGCATGCTGCAAAATTGGACTTGGGACTTTTGGGGACTTTTCTTGTCAGGTACCGGATGGACTTCTACCTACCTACGACGTTTCAGTAACGACTCCTACCGACCTATGACGCTTCAGGTTATGTTCCCTACGCCCTAGCCTACCGGGACAGCCTGGGACTGGGACACTTGGGGACCCTGGGACCGGGACTGGGGTGTCTGCAGCTTGAATCCTTTCACTCCCCTCCGGCCTAATTTCGAGGTCCTCCGAGAAAAATCCCACATTTATTGGTTGCACACGTTCATTCCCGTCCAGGCCCTCTCATAAAAGGAGACAATGTGAGGGGCTGTGTGTATTAGTTCCTCCTTGGGGAACCAGCGGTCTTCGCTGGGTTCCTGATATGCAAATCTGACCTTGTACTGTCTCTGTGGTCTCCCTCTGCGGCCTGTACGGAAGGCATCTTCGGCCACTATTCTATCTACATCATAACCTCCGTCCATGTCTGCTGGGATCATGGAGCGACAAGAAGGAAACTGATCATTCGTGATGCAGAGAGGCAACTTAGATGCGTGGAATACCGGGTATGTGTGCAGGTGGGGTGGAATCTCGATAGTGTAGAACGGACCATCTACCTCTCCCTTGATATCTAACACTTGCCATGGTCCCCTTTACGCAGGTTACAGTTTCTGCGAGATCCCTTCTTCCGGAATGAACGCCTTAAACATTACCCAGACCAAGTCACCTATGGCGAATTGCGAGGGGCATCGGTGCTTGCCAAGCGTTGTGTTACAGGGCAACACAACTCCGCCAGCGAGGTACCAGCATTGACTGGCCCTGGCCATCCTCCTCAGGCCACCAAAAGTGATGGCAGCGGGATTAGAACCCCACACCTAGGCGGTGATGCTCAGGCAGAAGGGCGGGTCATCCGATCAGTAGTAACCCTGCCATTGTTATTCTCTAGGATAAACCATTGATTGAGGATGATTGAGCAGAATAATAATGAGGAAATCCAGGCAGGTATATGCCTCCCTTCCCAGCGCATGCACCCAGGAAGAACTAGGAGGAGGAGGAGGAGGGGAAAGAGCGGGATGTGTTCACCTTTGGCATTTGGGCATGGGCCTGAGTGCTTAGATCATGTGGAAAAGAAGACTGATGATGAAAGCTTTTTTTCCGTTTATTTACTATACTATTTTTTAACTATGATTTGAACAAGGGGCCAAGTGCATGATATTAAGAAGTTAGTCAACTGCACACACACAGAAGAAAGAAAATCATCTACAGCACCCACACTCGGTTCGTGCTCAGCTGTTATAGCAGGGACAGTATGCCTTGTGAAGTTGTGAACCTTAGATCGAATTGGAGCCCATGTTCATGCAAAATTTTGCACAGAATACAGTGAAAGAGTGAGAGAGTTTGGACTTGCTAAAACTTGAAGGGAACTGACCTAACCTTATTTTGGCTGTTGATTGTGGTTGCATGCAGGTCAGGGGATGCAGATTGCCGCTGCATTGTTCACCGTGTTTTCTCCGGTCTCCTGAGGTCTGATGTGATGTGCACAGTCTGTGGGTTTACATCGACGACTTACGACCCCTGTGTTGATGTTTCGCTGGATTTAGAGCCTCCTGCGGAGACAGAGAGGGTGAACCATGGGTATGGTGCATCTGGAACAGGTGGGCCAGGGGGGGCCGGGGGAAACGGTGGGAGTGGAAGAGAAGGGGCAGGTGGGGGGGGGGGGAACCTGCAGAGCAAAGCGCAAATGGGTACAGGAACCCTTCTCGGCTGCTTGGATAGATTTACAAGGGCTGAGAAACTGGGAATAAATGAGAAGTTTTTCTGCCAACGATGCAAAATGCGTCAAGAGTCCATCAAGCAGATGTCAGTGAGGCGATTGCCTCTGGTTCTCTGCTTCCATATCAAACGTTTCGAGCACTCCTCGACAAGGAAGACCTCTCGCAAAGTCGACCGCTACCTCCAGTTCCCGTTTATGCTGGACATGGCACCATATCTGTCATCAACAATTGTCCGCATACGTCACGGAAACCGCATTTGCAGGCCCTGCAGGGGCAAGAACTGTTCGGCGGGGAAAGGGGATGTGCTAGGAAACAGCAACGATGACGGAAAGGAGTACATTGATGTCTCTGCGCCTTGTGTTACATCGAAGTACGAGTTGTTCGCTGTCGTGACACACTCAGGGAAAATTGATTCTGGTCATTATGTTGCGTACCTGAAGGTGGATGGGCAATGGTATAAGTGTGACGACGCATGGGTCACGCATGTAGATGAGAATGTTGTCCGTGCTCAGCAGGGATACATGCTGTATTACATCAAGAAGACATTCGGCTATAAAGTCACAGAGTGGGTATCAGAGGATGACACAGTTGCCACAGACGGGAACTCTGACCTCGGTTCTTACAAGAGTGCGGACACCGTCTCCTAGGTGTGTTATTGTATCAGGATTTTCTGCCAAACAGTGTCACATATAATTCTTTTTTGGAGTTACTAAATGGTGCCAAATGGTGCCAAACGGTGCCAGACGGTGCCAAACGGTGCGAAACGGTGCCAAACGGTGCCAAATGGCATGCCAAACAGTGCGAAATGACGTGCCAAATGGTGCCAAATGGTGCCAAACGGAGTTTAGACACGAGCTGCATCATAGTTTTGGATGTAAACATGATTGTGGTTAGGCAGTAGATTTGTAACTTCGTATATTATAGTGTTGTTGGTTAAGACAAAGCCTTGTCATTTTTCCTTTGCAGTCTCATACTTTTGAGACGTAATTGTCATTGTCATTGATTGAATTTACGCCCGTGGATTTGCTGATGGAAATGTTGAGCTTTGGGTGGGGTGGGAGATGCGAGTGTCAAGGCATTCTGTAGCTTTTGGACTTTAGCGGGTCTGAAACGGTCAGACTACATTTCAGGAGTTGCTTAGTTGACACACACATTTGTCCTTGCGGAAGTATCACACTGCTGAGGCCTACTAGCGTCTTCCCCCAAATAGAATGCGTCGGCATCCTGACATGTATTGCGTGCAAGGTTAGGGCCGAATGGCTATGGGTTCTGTTTGGGGGAAGGTGGTAGTCTCACCATTGACGATGGATGACCTTTGGCCGTTGGGAAAGGTCAGGATTGCTTGGGGAAAGGTGGTAGTTTTGCCAGTGGCAATGATGACCTTTGGCTGTGGGAAAAAGTCAGGATTGCTCAGGGAAAGGTGGTAGTCTAGCCACTGGTGATGACCTTTGGCTGTAGGAAGGGCCAGGATTGCTCGGGCGAAGATGGTGGTCGAGCAACTGGTGATGGCCTTTGGCCGTGGGAAGGGTCGGGATGACTCTGTCAATCCTCTGATCGTGTGGGTGGGTCAGGCCACACCAGCGAAGTATCTAACAGATTTGCGGCCAAGGGCCAGCAACTAATTTGCTTGTTGGTCTACCATTCAAGAGAGAGAGAGAGAGAGAGAGAGAGAGAGAGAGAGAGAGAGGGAGAGGGAGGGAGGGAGGGAGGGAGGGAGGGAGGGAGGGAGGGAGGGAGCACGAGAGTAAGCCCCTCTTACATGTTGAGATTGTAGTGATATTACGTCAAGGTATGATTGAATAAAGCGCAGTTGAATCGTCAACGTTTTCTGGCCGTCGACCCTTATCTTGTTGTCTGTAAATTTCGCGATTGCTTATATTTTCCCGTCTTGGTTATCTATTTTGAGGGACGGTTGAACATTTCCTAACGGTGGTGGAGGAGGGGGGTGAAGTGGGTGAGGTTGATTTCGACAAAAGGCAGTTGTCGTACTTGTTCACTTTGAGAGACGATTGGAAGTTTTGGAATCAAGTTCCTTATTTGCAATTCTTTATTGGCTACTGCAGTTGTTGCCCATCTGGACAGTTATCAGAGAAGATGGAAGCCTGAGGATTACTTGTTGTCAATCTGTGAGACTATGACTGAATCTGAAGCACAAACCCCTGAATATGCAGATCTAGGTTCCATGTTAGTGGGTATGTGTATCTGGCAAAGATGGGTACCCATATTTGTTGCAAAGACGGGAACCAGGATTTGGCAAAGATGGGTACCTGTATCTGGCAAACAAGGGTGCCGATGCTCGGGAAAGACGGTGGACAGGAAGGCCGGCTTAGGTGTCTATGTCAGTTGGGGGTGAAAGCATGGAGTCCTCTTGTCGAAGGAACAACGGGTCTGATTGGAGAATGTGTCGTTGTTTGTTTGCCAATATGTCTTGGATAGAAGGGCGAGTTGTCGATGATGGGCAGCGATGGGTTTAGTGATCTTGCAAGAAAAGAGAGCTGGCAAGGTATGGAGGCTTGGGGTTTTATGTGCCTGCCTAGTGGGTGAATGGTATGCATATGTAATCGTTGATCGACAGATCAAACAGTTCAAACCCTGCGCTAATCCCCTTAGAAAAGAGAGAAAGGGTTTGGGCTTGTATGTCAGCTTTCTGTGAAAGCACATTGTGCTGCTGTGAAGAAAACTGGAAGTGCACAGTACAAGACAAAAGGGTTGGCAGGTCTCTAGGCTTGTGCTTGTATGTCATTGATCTGTGAAAGAACATTATTGTGCTGTCAACGAAACTATGGGTGTGCAGTTCAAGCAAAGCAAGCAACCGGTCTACAAGGATTGGGGTGTTTACGAGCACAGCGGACAAGCTAGCAGAACTGAACCCTTATGTTGCTGGTGAGAGAAAGGACATATCATGCATTGAGAGAGATGATCACGGTCTCTTGAGAAGCAGGGTGTATTGGTTAGCAAGCGTGAGCTGCTATGTTGGTGGGTGTCCAGTAAAACTGCACTGCGCTGCTGCCAACAGGACTGAGATTGGAGTATGCATGTGCTATAACAAGGAGAAACAGCTTGCTAGGCTTGGCCAAAGATGGGTTGAGGACTCGTACAGTGCAGACTTACAGGCTTGCAGGCTTCCGCTTCTATGTTGATGGCCAGTAAAAGTGCATTGTCCAACTGTCAAAGGAGGCTTTGGTGCACAACTGCATTTCATTCATCATTGTTGTGAGCCAACTTGTTTATGAAGCTTGTCTGAACACGGGTTTGGGTGGAAGGGTTACAGGGGCAATTGACAGGGCTTGGATGTTGGTGGCCAGTTAAAACATGTTGTCAGAAGGTGAGCGCACTTGCAGGCTTGGCCTTGAGGAGTGACCTTGAGTCGATATCCGGTGAAAGAAGCAACTTGCTGAGACTTTTGGGCTAAGGTGGTTTTGCTCCCTTCAGTTGTTCGCAATGCCATTGGACAGGTTTGCAGGATTGGACAGGTTCGTAGGCTTGCGAGCTTGAACATGCATGCTGCCTTGGACAGGTACACAGGCGTGGACAGGTTTGCAGGCTTGTAAGCTTGAACAGGCTTGCAGGGCTTGCAGTCCTGTAGCCTTGCAGGCTTTTGGGCTTGCAGGTTTGCAGTCGTGCATGCTTGCAGGGCTTGTAGGCTTGCAGGCTTGCAGACTTGCAGGCTTGCAGGCTTGCAGGCTTGCAGGCTTGCGGGCTTGGAGGGCTTGCAGACTTGTGAGCTTGGAGAGCTTGCAGGCTTGAAAGGCTTGCAGGCTTGGAGGACTTGCAGGCTTGCAGGCTTGGCAGGCTCAGAGGGCTTGCAGGCTTGGCAAACTGGGTGGACAAACAGGTGGTTAGAAAGACATTCTCTGGAGCAACTGGATGGATAACGTATATAGCCACCATGCAGTCGGTAGATTGTCTGTGCTGAAGTGCTTCATTGACATAGTGAATGTTGCGTTTTATAACTGCGATATATTGTGACAAGGAGGTGCACCCTTTTTTAGTTGGTCAAGTGATTTGACTGATGATCTGACAGCCATAGCTTTCTTTCTGTGTCTTTAGGGGTTGGCCTGAATTCTCAGAGGCAGTGGTGGTTTAGCAAAGACTCATGCTTGCAGCCAGTCCTTTGACGGGTTTGCTACAAATGTACAGTTTGTGTAAAGCAATGTCTTTGGTGGTTCGAGGGAAGGATCCTCATTTGGCCGGATCAACCCAGACCAAAAAATGGCCCGGATGTTTGGCTGTGCTGCCTAGGTTTATTATCATTCTTCCCAAAGAAACACGGGAGAAGTCAAAACGAAATGTGATCCTGATGGAATACAAAGCGTCCGGGCAGCCAATGTGAAAACAGAAAGAGAGACGACAAAATCAATCACTACCTTTCTTAAACAATACACCAAAATACGTACCTGTAACTTGGCTCTCTACTCGGTCGTCGATGATGTCTTCCCAGCCCAGCTTCCCATGATGCTGGAGGACCTTCCCTTCCCACACCCGGTTCCGAATGCTCCTTTCGCGATCGCTATTGCAGACCCGATCTGTCGAGAGAAGGGGGGGATAAGGATAACGAATTGGGAGGGGTCCCTCCTCGCCGTGTGATTTGGGAAGGGGAGGGCTTGTGAAGGGGGAGGGAGGGGGAGGGGTTTGGTAGCCAATAGGGGAAAGTAGAGGTTGCAGGTAAGGGAGTAGGTGGGGGATGAAAGGCCAGAGGGCGTGTTTGGAGAAAGGGAATCGCGATTGAGGTCGCTGGTGTGGGGAGGTGGCGAGAGGGGGCGTGAGCAGAGTGGAGGGCTGGAGAAAGGGAGTCGCAATTGATGACTGAGGTAGGGTTGGTAGCCGATAGGGGAAAGTAGAGGTTGGAGATAAGGGAGGAGGTGTGGGATGAAAGGCCAGAGGGCGTGTTTGGAGAAAGGGAATCGTGATTGAGGTCGCTGGTGTGGGGAGGTGGCGAGAGGGGGCGTGAGCAGAGTGGAGGGCTGGAGAAAGGGAGTTGCGATTGACGACTGAGGTAGGATAGGTGGAGGGGGGATTCGATGCCGGTGCGGGGAGGTGCTGATCTGGTGAGGATAAAGAAGGACTGGGGGGAGTGGTATGCTGGGGACAGGGCTTGACGCGGGGAAGGAGTGTGGAAGTGCATGCGATTGCTCATCGAGGCGGATCAAGGAGCTGAGACATCAACATTGAAGGCGGGCTCTCTTCTCATCCCTGTCATCCCCTGGGATTTGCTAATAATAGCTAAACGTGATAAGCACATAAAAACTTAACAGAACGAGAAAACGCATGATGATAGGGTATTAACAGGGATAAAATAGTGGAGGGGGATTCTGGGGAAGTTACAGAAGTGGGCAAGCAATATATTCAGGAAGAACTCATGGCACGGTGGCAGAAAGTGAAAGCTCAGTTAGATCTTTTCTCTGGGAAACAGGATATAACCAATGCTATTAAACAATTCTCAGGGGATTGGCTGGGGAATGAGCGGGGGGGCTGGATAGCCTACATTCGATGGATGGAGGACACCTCCCGGAATACAGTTACGGTAAGCTCAGGGGTACCTACACCATCAGCTTCAAGGACTGGACTAAGGTGGCTCCGACGTCCTCTGCACCCTCCCTTTCCCTGATCCCTTTCCGCCCCAACGCCTCTCCATGGTGGACTTGGTGGCATGGAGCTGCATAAGCATCAGGAGCAGGTCTACCTGCTGGGGGATGCAGAACATTGGGCAATCGGCCAGCCGGCCGGGGGTGGCAGCAGGGGCAAAGATTATCGTGGTTTTGATGGCTTGAGGAAACTGGTTATGACTAGCCCGAAAAGCAAGAAAGATGCGGGGTTCGATTTGGGTATGTTGGGGATAGGGGAGAGGTTTCAGTCCGGGGGCAGGGGGAACCAGGCTGCAATAGTAGATGTTTCCCGCAAAGCCTTGGTCAATCCTCTGGAGCCCAGAGTAATCAATGCTTGCAGGCCGTTCTCAGCTGTCTGAATTCCTTGTATATGGAACGCTGGACCCACGTTCCAGCAGGTGAAGCTCCCCGCGAATAGATGGAGCCACCCCCCCCCCCCCGGCTAGAAAGACAAAAAACAGGGATATACTGGAGGTATGGAACCGGTAATAGGGTTTTGAAGTAACGGAAGTGCAAGGTATCAGTAGAAGAGGGAGTAGTGGAAATTGAAGGCAAAAACAAAGGAATTTTAGTTAATCGAACGCAGAGGGTATACAAAAGACTGGATTCAATGCTGTTTTACAATGGGGCAGAGAGTCGATACCAGCAGATTCCTTCCTCGCCTGCGCCCCGAACAGACGAATCTGGGCAATCAATATGGAAGTTTTGACAGAGGAAGAGAAGAGGCAGGTCGCATTACAGGAAGGAATGGCGGATGCCCCCCCCGCCCGAGGGTCAGGTGCCCAAATAATGACACAGGCAGGAACATCGGGTGACCCCACTACCCATGTGACTGGGACTCAGAGTGAACCAACCTGCTGGGCGGGCAAGGTTAAGAATCTGTGTCGGGGCCAGACGCTGACCATTCACCGCGGCCAAGGAAGCCCACGTACTGGAGACCTGGTTATCCCTCTGGACAGCCTGTGACCAGCACGGGCCTTCTTCATGACCCGCTTGCTCAGCCTCGAAAACATGAGTGGTGTTACAAGGGGGCAAACAGGTCATGGTGAGGGCTTATCCCGACAAGGGGTTGGTCAGTAGGGATGCGATCTACGTAAAACATGTGAAGAAATTGGGTGTTCCATGACGATGCGGCTTTTAAATCTGTCAACGATAAGGTTAAGTGGATTGGCCGACATCTGGAAAACCTCAAGGGCAGCGCGGACCTGGCCC